AAGCTCAGCTGGGAATGGGAGAGGTATCACTGGATTGAGGATGTGGGAGCAGGTTGGGTGGATTTTAGGGTGGAATCCCAAAGGGGAGCCCCAGGATCCATCGTCCGGATGGGTTTCCCAAAGTTCCCGGGTGTTTGTTTAGGGGTGGTTCTAAAGGTTCCTGTTTGGGCTGGGAGAGGGTCCCAGGAAAAGCTCAGCTGGGAATGGGAGAGGTATCACTGGATTGAGGATGTGGGAGCAGCTTGGGTAGATTTTAGGGTGGAATCCCAAAGGGGAGCCCCAGGGTCCATCATCCGGATGGGTTTCCCAAAGTTCCTGTGTGTTTGTTTAGGGGTGGTTCTAAGGGTTCTTGTTTCGGGTGGGAGAGGGTCCCAGGAAGAGCTCAGCTGGGAATGGGAGAAGGGGCACTGGAGTGAAGGGATGTGGGAGCAGCTTGGGTAGATTTTAGGGTGGAATCCCAAAGGGGAGCTCCAGGATCCATCGTCCAGATGGGTTTCCCAAAGTTCCCGGGTGTTTGTTTAGGGGTGGTTCTAAAGGTTCTTGTTTGGGCTGGGAGAGGGTCCCAGGAAATTGTCATCTAGGCCAGGGAATGCTTGGGAAAGGATCTGGGAACAGGTCCCCAAATCCCATGGCTGTGCCCTGAAATCCACCACCTTGAGGGTCTCTTTTTGGGGTGGGAGAGGGTCCCAGGAAAAGCTCAGCTGAGAATGGGAGAAGTGGCACTGGAGTGAAGGGATGTGGGAGCAGGTTGGGTGGATTTTAGGGTGGAATCCCAAAGGGGAGCCCCAGGATCCTTTGTCCGGATGGGTTTCCCCATCCACTGGGAGAGTTTGGGATGATTCCCAGGAGAGTTTGGGATCATTCCGGGCACTGTTCTTGGGATACCTTGGGATAATTGCAGGAGGGTTCCTGGGAGAGCCGGGATGATTCCCAGGGGAGAGTTTGGGATGATTCCTGAAAAGATTTGGGATGATTTCCAGGGGAGAATTTGGAATGGTTCCTGAGAGAATTTGGGATGATATCCCAGGAGATTTTGGGATGATATCCCAGAAGAACTTGGGATGATATCCCAGGAGATTTTGGGATGATTCCTAAGAGAACCGGGACAATTCCCACAACAATTCCAGCAATCCCCATCATCCCTTTCCCCTCCCCACCTCCTCTGCCATTCCCCCTTTCCTTCCCCCTCTCCCCCTGTCCCTTTTTCCCATTTTTTCCCTGATTCCCGTGTTTTCCAGGCCAAGTTCCTGCCCAACAGTGGTGACTCCACGCTGGCCATGTGTGCCCGGGACGGGCAGGTGCGCGTGGCCGAGCTCTCGGCCACCCAGTGCTGCCGCAGCACCAAGCGCGTGGCCCAGCACAAGGGCGCTTCCCACAAGGTGAGGGGGATCCCGGAATTCCAAATCCCGGGATTTGGGGTGCCTGGGAATGGGGGCACGCTGTGGGAATGGGGTGGGAGCAGGGGATGTCGCCACAGAGGTGACAGAGCTGTCACAGCACCGAGCCCAGCACAAGGGGGGCTTCCCACAAGGTGAGTTGGGATTTGGGAATGGCAAATCCTGGGAATGGCAAATTCTGGGAATGGCAAATCCTGGGAATGGCAAATCCTGGAAATGGCAAATCCCAGGATTTGGGGTGTCTGGGAATGGGGGAACGCTGTGGGAATGGGGTGGGGATGTCACCACCCAGCTGACAGCCGGTGCTGCACAAGGGGGGCTTCCCACAAGGTGAGAGGGATCCCAGGAATGGCAAATTCTGGGAATGGCAAATCCTGGGAATGGCAAATCCTGGAAATGGCAAATCCCAGGATTTGGGGTGTCTGGGAATGGGGGAACGCTGTGGGAATGGGGTGGGGATGTCACCACCCAGGTGACCCCCGGTGCTGTCACAGCACCGAGCCCAGCACAAGGTGAGGGGGATCCCAGAATTCCAAATCCCGGGATTTGTGGTGCCTGGGAATGAGGGAGATCTCCTTTTCCCGGAGGTCCGAGGGGTTTCTGGGGAGAAAGGAAGGGATTTTCCCACTTTCTGCGTGCAGTGGAAATCAATTCCCAAATATTTCAAGGCTTGGATGTGGCCCTTGTCACCTCGGCGGGTTCAGCCACTCAGCTCCGTTAAAATCCAGGAATTTCGGGATTTTTCCCCCTTTTTGGGCGCAATTCAAACCCTTGGCTGTGCAGTCATCCCCTTGATGTCACCCAGATGACATCACTGCAGTTCATAGCGGGAATCCCCAAACCCGGGGTTTTTCCAGGTGGATTTTCCTGGATTTGGGGATTTTTGGGAGCTATTCCCGCTGGTTTTTCCCTTTTTTTTTTTTTTTTTCCTCTCCCCAAATCGCAGCTGGCGCTGGAGCCGGACTCGCCCTGCACGTTCCTGTCGGCGGGGGAGGACGCCGTGGTCTTCACCATCGACCTGCGGCAGGACCGGCCCGCCTCGTGAGTGGGGAAAACGGGAATTCTGAGGGGAAAAGTGGGAATTCTGAGGGGAAAAGTGGGAATTCTGAGGGGAAATGTGGGAATTCTTAGGGGAAAATGGGAATTCTGAGGGGAAAACGGGAATTCTGAGGGGAAAACGGGAATTCTGAGGGGAAAACGGGAATTCTGAGGGGAAAATGGGAATTCTGAGGGGAAAACGGGAATTCTGAGGGGAAAATGGGAATTCTGAGGGGAAATGTGGGAATTTGGGGTGGGAAATGGGGATTCTGAGGGGAAAAAAAGAGATTTGGGGTGGGAAATGGGGATTCCATCGACCTGCGGCAGGACCGGCCCGCCTCGTGAGTGGGGAAAACGGGAATTCTGAGGGAAAAATGGGAATTCTGTGGGGAAAATGGGAATTCTGAGGGGAAATGTGGGAATTTGGGGTGGGAAATGGGAATTCTGTGGGGAAATGTGGGAATTCTGAGGGGAAATGTGGGAATTCTGAGGGGAAATGTGGGAATTCTGAGGGGGAAATGGGAATTCTGAGGGGGAAAGTGGGAATTCTGGGTGGGAAATGGGGATTCTGAGGGGAAAGTGGGAATTCTGGGTGGGAAATGGGGATTCTGAGGGGAAAATGGGAATTCTGAGGGGAAATTTGGGAATTCTAAGGAGAAAATGGGAATTCTGTGAGGAAAAGTGGGAATTCTGAGGGGAAAATGGGAATTCTGAGGGGAAAAGTGGGAATTCTGAGGGGAAAAGTGGGAATTCTGAGGGGAAAATGGGGATTCTGAGGGGAAAAGTGGGAATTCTGAGGGGAAAATGGGAATTCTGAGGGGAAAAGTGGGAATTCTGAGAGGAAAATGGGAATTCTGAGGGGAAAAGTGGGAATTCTGAGGGGAAAATGGAATTCTGAGGGGAAATGTGGGAATTTGGGGTGGGAAATGGGGATTCTGAGGGGAAAAAAGGAGATTTGGGGTGGGAAATGGGGATTCCATCGACCTGCGGCCGGACCGGCCCGCCTCGTGAGTGGGGAAAATGGGAATTCTGAGGGGAAAAGTGGGAATTCTGTGGGGAAAATGGGAATTCTGAGGGGAAAAGTGGGAATTCTGAGGGGAAAATGGGGATTCTGAGGGGAAAAGTGGGAATTCTGAGGGGAAAAGTGGGAATTCTGAGGGGAAAACGGGAATTCTGAGGGGAAAATGGGAATTCTGAGAGGAAAAGTGGGAATTCTGAGGGGAAAATGGGAATTCTGAGGGGAAAATGAGAATTCTGAGGGGAAAATGGGAATTCTGAGGGGAAAATGGGAATTCTGAGAGGAAAAGTGGGAATTCTGAGGGGAAAATGGGAATTCTGAGAGGAAAATGGGAATTCTGAGGGGAAAAGTGGGAATTCTGAGGGGAAAATGGGAATTCTGAGAGGAAAAGTGGGAATTCTGAGGGGAAAATGGGAATTCTGAGGGGAAAAGTGGGAATTCTGAGGGGAGAAGTGGGAAATGGGAATTCTGAGGGGGAAATGGGAATTCTGAGGGGAAATTTGGGAATTCTAAGGAGAAAATGGGAATTCTGATGGGAAAAGTGGGAATTCTGAGGGGAAAAAAGGAGATTTGGGGTGGGAAATGGGGATTCCCTCAATCTGCGGCAGCTGTGCCGCGTGAGTGACCAGAAAATTGGGAATTCTGAGGGGAAAAGTGGGAATTCTGAGGGGAAAAGTGGGAGTTCTGAGGGGAAAAGTGGGAGTTCTGGGCAGGAAATGGAGGATCCTGGGCAGGAAATGGGAAGAGGTGGGTTTTGGGAAAAAATCAGGGGTTTTTTTTGGGAAATCAGGGGTTTTTCAGGAAGTCAGATTATTTTTGTGGGGAAAACAGCTTGGGTGTTTTTTGAAATTTGATATCTTTGCAGGAAAATTTGATGTATTTTGTAGGAAAATGAATATTTTTGAGGAAAAAATAGAGCTTTTTTGGAAAATTGGGATTTTTCAGGGGAAGATAGTTTTTTTGTTTTTTTTTTCCTTTAACCAGAATAATTTTGTGAGAAAACATTTTTTGAGGGGGAAAGCAGGTTGTTTTTTTGGGGAAAAACACCGTTTTTTGAGGAAAACCAGGGAATTTTGGGCAGAACCTGATTATTTTTAAAGGGAAAATTGTGTTTTTTGGTGGGAAAAGCAGGGATTTTTTTGGGTAAAACAGTTTTTCTGTCTCTGTATTTTTCCAAGCCTCTGAGCTGTCATTCCGGAGGCTGATCCAGCCCAAATCCCGGGGTTTCATAACCAGGACGAGCCCTTTAATCCCTGATCCCGCCGGAATCCGCGGCTGGAGCTGATCCCAACCCCCTCCCTGGGCTGCATCACTTTGGAATTCTCACCCTGGCAGAGCCAGCCCTGAATTTTCCCTCCTGGAATGGCCCAAATTCCCTCAAATCCCAGCTGTCTTCAGAGATTTTTTTGGGGAAAATCGGGATTTGTTTTGAAAAATGGGGGTTTTTTTTGGGAAGAAATGGGGATTTTGGAGGAAAAATCTGGATCTCGGCGGGAATAATGGGGATTTTGGAGGGAATAATGGGGAGTGGTGGACAGGAGAATGAAGATTGTGACAGGAAAATGGGGATTTTTTTTTGGGAAAATAGGAATTTGATGGTGGAAACAGGCAGGATTTGGGGTATACTGGTGGAGTTTGAGGAAAAATCAGGGTTTTTTTTGGGAAATCACATTTCCCTTGGGAATTCCCATCCTTTGGGCCAGATCCCTTTGGAATTCTCACCCTGGCGGAGCCAACCCTGAATATTTCATTCCTGGACTGGCCCAAATTCCCACAGATCCCAGCTGTTTTTAGGGGAAAACACCCCCAAATCCCATTTTCCCTTTGGGAATTCCCCCAGTGCACCCCAAACCCTGCAGATTTTTCCTGGGGGAAATTCCCCACCTCGGGAGCATTCCCCCCCCTCGGTGCCCAAATCCTGCTGAGTTTTGGGATTTTTCTCCCCTGGGAATTCCCGCTCCCGGAATTTGGGCTGGGACTGGGGCTGATCCCGAGGGTTTTTCCCAGGAAATTGGTGGTGACGAAGGAGAAGGAGAAGAAGGTCGGGCTCTACACCATCTTTGTCAACCCTGCCAACACCTCCCAGTTCGCTGTGGGCGGCCGCGACCAGTTCGTGAGGTGAGGCCAAACTGGGAGCACTGGGAGAGCCAAAATCCTGGGATTTCCCATCCCAAATCCATGATTTTCCCTGCCCAACTTCCCTTTCACAAATCCCAATTTATTCCCTTCCCAAATCCATGGTTTCCTGTCCCAAATCAGGGGCTGGGACCAGTTTGGGAGGTGAGGCCAAACGGAGCATTGGGAGAGCCCAAATCCAGGGATTCCCCTTCCCAAATCCAGCATTTTCCTATCCCAAATCCATGATTTCCCCTGCCCAACTTCCCTTTCACAAATCCCAATTTATTCCCTTCCCAAATCCATGGTTTCCTGTCCCAAATCAGGGGCTGGGACCAGTTTGGGAGGTGAGGCCAAACGGAGCATTGGGAGAGCCCAAATCCAGGGATTCCCCTTCCCAAATCCAGCATTTTCCTATCCCAAATCCATGATTTCCCCTGCCCAACTTCCCTTTCACAAATCCCAATTTATTCCCTTCCCAAATCCATGGTTTCCTGTCCCAAATCAGGGGCCGGGACCAGTTTGGGAGGTGAGGCCAAACGGAGCATTGGGAGAGCCCAAATCCAGGGATTCCCCTTCCCAAATCCAGGAATTCCCAAATTCGCCTCTTTTCCCTTCCTAAATTCCCAGTTTTGCCTTCCCAAATCCAGGACTGGAACCAGTTTTTGTGGTGAAGCCAAACTGGGAGCACTGGGAGCTCCCAAATCCGGGTGTATCCAGAACAGAATTCCAGGGAGTTTTAGGATGGAATTTGGGGCATGGGAATGTTTTTTCTGCCCCAAATCCCCAGGGAATTTTAGGATGGAATTTTGGCTGTGGGAACGTCATTCCTGCCCCAAATCCTGAGGGAATTTTGGGTGTGGGAATGTCATTCCTGCCCCAAATCCCCAGGGAATTTTAGGATGGAATTTTGGCTGTGGGAATGTCATTCCTGTCCCAAATCCCCAGGGAATTTTAGGATGGAATTTTGGCTGTGTGAACATCATTCCTGCCCCAAATCCCCAGGGAATTTTAGGATGGAATTTTGGCTGTGTGGGAACATCATTCCCGCCCAAAATCTGCCCCTATCCTGGCACATAAAATCCCAGGCAATTTTAGGATGGAATTTTGAGCCCTGGGATTCCGGAACAGGAATTTTGGGGTTCAAAAGGCCTCCCTGGAGCAAATCCAACCTTCTTTTTTTACTTTTTTGGGTTTTTTTTCCCCCTGTTTCCTGCAGGATTTATGACCAGAGGAAAATCGATGAAAATGAGAACAACGGAGTCCTGAAGAAGTTCTGCCCTCACCACTTGGTACTGGGGATACTGGGAGGGAACTGGGAGGGAACTGGGAGCACTGGGATCACCCCGGATCAATCCCATGGGAAGCGGCCGCTCCTTTTCCTGGAAAACCCTTCAGGAAAAGCCGGAAAAAACTCCCAGAAATCTTTATTTTTTTGGGTTTTTTTCCCTCAAACCCCATTTTCTGCCTCCCTAAATCCTCCTCTGGGACTTGTAACACTCAGAATTCCCAGGAAAAGGGGCTGGATCCGAGGTTTCTTCCCACTTTTCCAGGTGAACTGCGAGTCCAAAGCCAACATCACCTGCCTGGTCTACAGCCACGACGGCTCAGGTGAGGATTTGGGGAGTCCTGGGGGGTCCCACTCCCTCAAACCCCCTCATTTCCCACCAAAAAAAAATCAGGTTTTCCCAAAAAATACCCGTTTTCCCAAAAAACCACCTGTTTATCCTCAAACAAACACCTCCTCCACCCAAAAAAACTGACCTCCCCTCACCAAATTCCATGTTTTCCAAAATAAAAATAATTTCCCCCACAAAAAAACCCTGTTGAGCTCCAGACCCTCCTGGTTTTTCCACATTTTCCTCCTGGTTTTTCCCATTTTCCTCCTGGTTTTTCCCCATTTTCCTGCTGTTTTTCCCCATCTTCACATTGTTTTTCCCATTTCCTTGGTGCTTTTCCTTGATTTCCCCCCATTTATTCCCCATTTCCCCCATTTCCTTATGTTTTTTCCCAATTTTCCTGTGTTTATTCCCGTTTCCCCCCATTTATTAACATTTCCCTCCCCATTTATTCCCATTTCATCCCATTTATTCCCATTTTCCGTGTTTTTCCCGTTGTCCCCCCATTTATTCCTGTTTATTCCCATTTCCCCCATTTATTCCCGTTTCCCCCTGTTTATTCCCATTTTCCCTCTATTTATTCCTGTTTTCCCCTGTTTATTCCCATTTTCCCCCTGTTTATTCCTATTTTCCCATGGTTTTTTTCCCATTTATTCCCATTTTTACTTCTGTTTTCCTGTGATTTTCCTGTTTTTACTCCTGTTTTCCCATGGTTTTTCCTGTTTCCCCCCATTTACTCCTGTTTTCCCGTGGTTTTTCCCATTTATTCCCATTTCCCCCCCCATTTACTTCCATTTTCCTGTGTTTTTTCCCATTTATTCCTGTTTTTTTCCCGTTTTCCTGTTTTTTTCCCATTTTCCCATTTTTTTCCCATTTTCCCGTGTTTTTTTCCCATTTTCCCGTGTTTTTTTCCCATTTTCCCATGTTTTTTCCCATTTTCCCATTTTTTTCCCGTTTTCCCATGCTTTTTTCCCATTTTCCCATGTTTTTTTCCCATTTATTCCCATTTTTTTTCCCATTTCCACGTTTTTTTTCCCATTTATTCCCGTTTTTTCCCCGTTTTCCTGTGTTTTTTCCCGTTTTCCCATGTTTTTTTCCCATTTTCCCATGTTTTTTCCCATTTATTCCCATTTTTTTCCCATTTTCCTGTGTTTTTTCCCTGTTTTCCCATGTTTTTTTCCCATTTTCCCATGTTTTTTTTCCCATTTATTCCTGTTTTTTCCCGTTTTCCCGGTTTTTTTCCCATTTATTCCCGTTTTTTCCCCGTTTTCCCGTGTTTTTCCCCGTTTTCCCGTGTTTTTTCCCATTTTCCTGTGGTTTTTCCCCGTTTTCCCGTGTTTTTTCCC